TGTGGCCCTGCCCTACCCCCGGGGGTCATTAATTGAACAAATTTGAATCTACACTACCTGAGGATGCTTCCATATAAATATGATCAACCATGGCTTTGTTATTCTTGAGATGAATTTTTTTTATAGAATTTTACAATATATTTTTATGTAAAACTTTGCTAGACCATTAGGACCCTACCCTACCATCCGGGGTCATGAATTGAACAAATTTGAATCTACACTACCTGAGTATGCTACCATATAAATATGAACAATCATGGCTCTGATATTCTTGAGATGAAGATTTTTAAAGAATTTTCCTATATATTTCTATGTAAAACTTTGGTCGGTCATTGTGGCCCTGCCCTACCCCCGGGGGTCATGATCTGTACAAATTTGAATCCACACTACCTGAGGATGTTTCTCCATAGGTATCATTTTTCCTAGCACAGTGGTTCTTGAGAAGAAGATTTTTAAAACATACCACCAAATTTTCTCCCAATTTTCTCCCCTTGAATGAGGGCGTGACCCTTTATTTGAACAAACTTGAATTCCCTTAACCCAAGGATGCTTTGTGGCAAGTTTGGTTAAAATTGGCCCAGCAGTTCTTAAGAAGAAGTGGAAAATGTGAAAAGTTTACAGACAAACAGACAGACAGACGGATGCAGGACAAAATGTGATCAGAAAAGCTCACTTGAGCCTTCGGCTCAGATGAGCTAAAAAAAGTTTGTATAGATTAATAAGGATGGTTTTAGAGAGGTAGAATTTTCAACATCATAGAAGGTTCACAATTTCTTTATATTCTAGAAATTTATTTTTTACATCATTTTCAATGAAATCAGTCCAAATAATATATACCAATCCAGGCGATTGATGCATGTTTTAAAATGAAGAGGAAATTCGGATTAGCAAATATTTATTTTATTTAATTTATCCATGTCAATTTGGTAATATCATCTAATATGCCCTATATGGTAGTATCTTTTTATGCAAAAAGAAAAACATTTTATCTTTTGCATTACAAGTAAGGTTCTTATCTTTCTTGATTCTGATTTTTTCATTAATTTTTAAATATCATTTAATTTTAAAATGAATCCTACCTTAATGACAGACAGTATTTGTTTACAAGGTCATTATATCGACCATAAACTTTCAAAATGATGCCTTTAAACGAGACTCGCAGAACGTCCTCTTATGTATCGAATCAACAGTGGAAAATAAACTCCAAAAATTGCAGAAGATAAAAGTATATTTCTGCATTATTAAAGGAAGTTGATGATGAAAAGTTGAAGTCATCAACATTTATCATAAAGTTGTGTTGTGATAAAACATTAAGGTTTTTCTAGTGAAATAGCCAAATTTCTATTTATTAGTGGCCTTTACAATATTTTTCATTGAAAGAACTATATCCGGTATATTGCGTATATTTGCCGCCACAAAAAACAAATTTTGAAAACTTCCTGAAATGTGCTAAATTCAATAAATTGTATGAGAAACATAAATTAACAGAAAATATGATAGTGTCAAAGCAGTGTATTCACAATTTTTGTTTTTATGGCGTCACAAACCAGGCTGATTTTATATCCTTTTTCAAAAAGATGACAAAATGGACAAACTTTCAACAATTTTAGCTTTGAAATTTATAGAGCCCAAGTTTGTTCAGGAACAATATTGACATATTTCATTGATATTATCATTCTACACATTATATCAACATATTTATCCTGAACACACATGCGCCCGGTGACTTACTTAGAATATCGACGAAATATGTATATTTTTATGTAAAATTTATTAAGGAGGAATGCCACACCAACTTTTTTATTTTATATATCTGTGAGTCAACCTTTTTAAAAAATGGTTTCAGCATTGAAAGGCCGACATTAGCCTTCAATTATTTTATATGAATTTTTTTTGTATTTTTTCAAAGGAAATGAAAAAAAAATTCCATCAAAATTAGAGGCTTTCTTGTAAAATTTTTGCTGTAAATTAATGCATCACATTAATTTTTAATAAAATATATGTAGAAAAGCCGTATAGATATTAAATTTTTTAAAATAAAAAATATTTATGAAAATAAAACACATAATTTGTGAATATTTTTTAAATGTGTGCTTAAAATTTTCTTAAAACCAGTCACAACTGGGAAGAACATATTCGTTAATTATATTTATAAAAGAAATTGAAAGGAAATGGCCAAATTTTAGAGATATAATTTTTCAAAACCTCGAAAACCCAAAATATTGTTAAAATTTTTATTCAAAATGCAAAATTTTGATTTCTGTTAAGAGGGCTAGAAAGCAACTTCCGGTAGTGGAAAGAAATTCATTCAACCGTTGAATAATTGATTTGGCAAAGTAAAAGTTGTCCTAACTTTTTGGTACATAGTTATAACTCGAAAATAATTTTCAACCTAAAAATAAGGTGTTGCGTTTCCATTGAAGGTGAGTATATATCTCAGATTCCTCACATGACCTAACAATTTAATAGATTAGTTTTCATGTTTTTAATCAATTAGAGGAGGTAAATTAAAGAAAAATGGTATATATTGTTTTGTCTTAGTTTTAAAGGTACTTGGACACATATTTGAAGTTAATTCTTTCTGTATAATATCACTAATTTTATATTTTAATTGCATTTCACACAAACATTAATTAAAAATCTTATTTTATTTAAAAGTTATTAAAGCTTTTAATTTTTTGGCGGGTTTGATTGAAACACCCTTTCTATTTCACAAATTTTAACTTTATTCTTAATCTTTAGGAAAAGTGTATTAATGAGAATCATTAAAACTTAAATCCAGAAAAATAATTTAATTCAGAGTAGAAATGTTAGAAAGCAAAACTCCTTCACAAGTATCGTCATTCCGTTGCGTACAGAGTTAAGCAAATCGAGCACACTCGTGTTATGTACACAGTTTTTGTAAAGAGGGCGAAATCTCCGTTATTGTTTGGTGTTTTGGTTCACCGTGTGTGTTGAATTGCCAAAATCTGCTCACCACACCTGCACAGACTGAGAATATATTGTGTGTTTGTTTTGCTTTCGAAAATGTCTACGCTGAATTTTCTGGATTAAAGTATTAATATTTTCCATTCATACACAACAAGACTGCCACTTTTCCTAAGAATTAAGACTAAAAATAAAATTTGTGAAAGTGCAAGGACGTGTCAATCAAACGCGCCAAAAATATTAAATTTTTAATAACTTTTTAATAAGAATATATTTTAAATTAATATTTGAGTCAAATGCTATTAAAATACATAAGTCGTAATATTATAGAAAAATATCAACTTCAAATCTGTATCCAAGTACCTTTAAAGAAAATTGAAGATTACTATCATAAAAAGTCAATGTTTTTTATTATGTGTACTGATTGTTGCCGTAAAATTAAACTTTCCTTAGTATATATGGATTTTTTTTTATAGTTCCCTTATCTAAAGATTTAACATTTTTATGATTCATCAAGTCCTGTATGAAAATTGATTTAAGATAGCTCTACACTCAACACTAAATGGGCTCAATCTTAAAAAATCTGCTTTTATAAGATAGACATACATCCCAGCAATGGATAGACACCAGAAAAATCATATGTCAACATGTTTACTTTTCCCGATTATATACCACGAAATGTAAAATATTGAAAATATACCTATCCTAGATTTCGTTGTATATAAATGAATTAAAGTCTTCATATTCAACTTTAATACCCAAAACAGAAAAGAAACATTTTAGTAAACAAAATATAATCATTGCATTGCAAGAATTATTATAAATAGATGCACTTTGTTAGGCTATTTTATATGGGAAAAATGCTTCACAGGTCGATCTCGGTCGTTTAAAAAAATATGGACTCAAATTTCGTAAATTTGCTTTAATTTTACTTAATAATATTTAAGAAAAAGAATAAGCTTAAAAAATTTTATGATGACACTTTTCGTGTTATGACCTTTACACTAAAGGGACCCCATTAATTTCCTTCTTCCAGAAGTAATATATTGCCACATTTTCCTGTAATACTGTTAATGTTTGAGTGTATATTTGTACATAGTACAATAATATGAAATATCATATTACATAATATGAAAGTTGTACATATTTAAAACAATGATTATACACACCCAATATTTATTGTCCCTGAAAATTTCTTTTTTTACTCTTTAAAAAAAATGAAACACTCTTGTCTGTAAATTGGATACCATGAAAATGACACTGATTGACTAATTCTCACAAACTGGATAATTTTGTTTGTTACAGAAAGTAAGTATGCTGCAAGTGAATCAACTTTTGCATTGTGATTCGTGGGTAAGCAGGGGGGGGGGGGGGGGTGGATGATATGCGTTTTATGCATTAATTATTATTCAAAGTAAATTTTGTAATGCTTGATTAGTAAAATTCATAAATTGTCTAAGTGAAATCGTAGTCATTACTTTTCTTGCCAATTATCACTATTAGCTTCCACTTGGCCGCTGACAATAGGCGCCTCGACTTCGACAGTTTGATACATGTTCTGATGTAGCATGTTCGTGGTCCGTGTTATCGGCACGGCATATAACACATGCATCATTCACAGAAATACTGTTTTGTTACCAAATCATTTCTGTCAACCGAAAGTTGTTCTCGGTTTTTTCTTTTTAATTAACTGTAGAATCAGTGTCTGTTGATGCCACTGACATGGAGCAAAATCGCATATTTAAAACGCTAAGTAAAAGTCAGACCAATATATTTAAAAAATCACATCTCGAAAAAACGAAGCGTGGTTCCGGTTTTACTATTCGTAAATGACGTAGTGCGAGTGTAGACCTACTTTAATCGGTAACAAATTGATAATAAACTTTGATATATATGTTGTATGATAGGCAATCAATATCCATTCATGCATGGGATGCTACATGTGAACCACAACGACAAGACGTAATTTTAAATTAAAAAAAAAATAATAATTACAAAGTAGATTTCATGAAAACAACATACAATCATTCAGTTTGTCTTTTTTGTAGGATTGATCTAATATGAAATTTAACCTTTTGCAATTGAAAATCCAGTTTCCTCCATAGCACTGAGTAAGCTGGTGATCTTCAACTCATTTCTGGATCCCTCAGCCCACTTGATAATCCCACTTTTAATTTTTTCTTCAACATCTCTCCCAGATTCCTCTACATTCAATTTTTCGAGTAAGCGTAAACAATTCTCGCTTCGATGAGGATCAGACTGGGCTATTTCTATGATTTTGTCGATGTATCTTTCTGTGTGTAATAGAAATGAAAAATAATTTATACTCTCTCAAAAACATTGTCAAGTTGAAATTTTGTTTACTTTTTATTATTCCAAAAATAAATACAAAAAATATACTGCAAAATTCTGTTCATCAAACATAAATTTACCGTTGCTTAGCAACTAACCAAAAGTTTGTCTTATCACATGGAATGCTGTCATGAGGTAACGACTCCCAACCCTGAATGCTGTACCTTTTGCTCCATTACCACAAATCAAATGACCCACACTTTTTTGCCATTCATGGGTGAATATGGTTTCCATTTCATAAGTCCGTTGAGTATCATCATTTTTCTTTTGAAATTTTGCTGATGTATCTGAATCAGTGAAAATTGTGAACCATTAATCGTTGGACAGTTGAATCTGTCATTGTATAAAAACATTTAGAGGAGAGTTAAAAGAGAGACCACATCTAAAATGTGACAGTTTCAATTGTAAATGTAGAAACCCAGTTAACACATCATTTCTTCCATGTATGCGTTCTTATATTTCTGTATGGAATCATGATTTGTTTGTTAATAAACGATAGAAACATCATTCTTGTATTTATAAAATTAGGTCACATCAAATGAACTTAATCTTAAGAGATAAAAAAAACAATGAATATTATGTTTTAGTTTTTTAGAGGAGAATAAGTCTTGGTGTTTTTCATGACAGAGACCTTTTCAGTTTAAATACTATAAGTTTTCAATTGTCTTTTTAAATATTTCACTTAAATGACATTTTCCCATCTCTAGGACATAGAATAAAGTAATGTTTAAGTACATAATTTAACAGCATTAATAAAAAGACTTAATAATTTAATTTAAAAGAATAAATAATATACAAGGTTTGATCCAAAGCAATGTCACTGTGTCCATATCTCAAATATTTAGTGTCATATTATCTAATATATTGTATCAAAAGATGCATAAAAAAACTAAAAAATAATGAAAATTTCATTTTATTTAATTATATAATTTTCAGACGCTTTAAACATAAAACATAAGAAGTGTCCCTCGTCACAAAAATGCCTTTTTATTTAAAAAGGTTTTATCTGATGTATTGAACAGAAAAAAATGTCGAAATGGAAAAGAAAATCATGTAAAGAATTTTAGCTTCGAAGTGGAAAATCGCCAGTACAGGCAGTTGCGATGATGAAGCAGACACACGGAAAGAATGTAATCGATAGACTTGTTTATGGATGTTTCCTGCGATTTTTGGTCAGGGGTCATTGAATGATCAGCAGAGGACAGGATGCCCGAAAAAGGAGGTCAGGCGGAAACGTTCGATTTTGTTTGATGTTTTCCAAAAAGACAGACGTGTCACATTTAGAGTGATATAAGACATCTTGAAGTTTGTCAAAGTGTACTGTTCAAAACATTAGAGTAAATCAGATATAGAGTGAGTGTACAAAGGGTGCCAAAATTCTTAAAAGTGAAAAATGTGAATGTGTTCCGCCTGAACTTCATGGATCTTATATCTTTTTAATAAAACGTAGGAGGAAGCTTTGAAGTGTATGACGGCGCGTATACGTCATATAGACTTATATGCGCGCAATGTCTACCATAATTTCCCTTAAAAGCTTTGCTTATATACTTCGATATTTTAAAAAGAATAAATTATTTTACTTTGAATTTTTAAAGACTGATTTGCTTTAATTTTAGCTTCGATCATGTGTAATTCTGCATGTTGATATACGACAACTAGAACATAATTTTTATAATTAATCAACTTTATGAATTCATTATACTATTTTCTTATTTATAAAAATAATATAAAAGATTACTTTATTCATAAGTTAAGTATAGAGGCACATAAAAGTATTTTTAGACGTTTGTGTAACTAGTTCCCTTACCTCTCCTTTCATCAATACTTTCAAAAGGGGGCTGTGACATAATTGGGATCTTTTCTGCCTCTTCACGACTCTAAAAGTAGCAATGATAAACAATCAAATGTTTTTTTTTATTATTTCAGAGTTTTATAATGTCACTTTTATTTACACTGCCTTAACCCCCATCCCCGCATTTAAACCAAAACAAACATGTAATTGTGCCAAAAATATCGTGAAAGTTTGTACAGGTTTATCCTAAAAATTTCAAATTAAAATATTGACTCCCTTGTGTGGCCCTACCCCTTTGGACTATGATTTTAATGGATAAGTAATTTACTATACCCAAGGAAGCATTCACCTTCATTTCTTATTTTCTGGTCCAGTGGTTCTTTACAATATTATCTTTCTATATTTCAAAATAAAACTTCCACAATCTCTTCTTTTGGTCGCCCCCTACCACAAGGGTACACGATGTGATCAAGATAATTTTTTATCCTTCAAAACATCCACATTAGCGTTACTTTTTGTTTCGAAGTTGTTCTTGAAAAGATGGTTTTTTAAAGATGTTTCTTATATACTTTCATAGAAAAGTTTCTTCCTGTGGCCCAAACATAGAGCTACGATTGATTAATATTCGCGACTTAAAGTAGATCTCAAAATTAACTCGCGAATATTTCTTGCGCCGAATAAAAGTTGGGTTACAGTTTAAGAAATAATGATGAATGTTGACATTCATGGAAGTGCTTTTTTAATATTCAATAATTAGGTTTGCAAATAATAAAATCATCCGTTTCGAAAAAAAAAAAATAAGCAAGTTTTAATTATCCTGTAATCATTTGTAATGTGTTGAAGAGATTACGAATAAATTACTCTGTTATTTATATTATAACTCGCTTGTTTATATACAAAGCAAATAAAACGAAAGGTGCACACTGTCAGCGTGTAATGATATTTGGTAATGAGATATTTTAGACGACCATATCTACCTTTTCCCAGAATCTCTGAGTGTCGTGAACATTTATTAGATGTTTTTCTCCCATTGGATAGCAAGAACATAGAATTTCTTCATCTTCTAAAAGAAGAAGTTCCTCTACTGGTGTAAACGACGCATCATTTTGGTCACAAAATATCTTTTGGCATTTGTACCCTCTTTGAAAACTTAGATTTTTGTTTTCGAACGTTTTAGTGAGTTCATCTAGAGCCTCGAGGATTAAACGACCTACTTCACTGGATATTTCAGTTTTTATGTCCAAAAAGTTGATCACAACTTGCAACTGAATATCTTTATCACATATACCGAGTACAACAGTGTGGTTTTTGTATTCAAACGCAGCTGCTGTTTGAAAAAGACATCTATCGGTTTTGTCCGGTACAACTTTCCATTGGAGAGAACTCATGCAATAAGCTACCAGCCTATAAAATTTTTGTGTCCAGTTTATTTGACACTACTTCAACAAGGGCATTCTTCAGCAACTGTAACTTTTGCGTTCTTTCGCCTTCATTTATGTTTATAAGTTCAAATGCAAATTCGTTTTCTTCACTGCGATGATTGGACAGCCATGTTTTGTCGACCTCTGGTAGGGACCGCCATAGACATATGAAATAATCATCTATGTCCTAAATTAATTAAAATTTAATATTTTTATTAATTTTATTATTATTAAAGAGTTATAATATTTAATTAACATTTCCTTCTCCCTTTTGTATCTTTATCATCTGTATCAATTTGAATAAAATCATAACAAGAGGCCCAGGGGCCACAGCGCTCACCTGAGCACATTGGCGAGGAAAAAGCACATATCAGATCAGAACTGAAAGTTTAGTTACATTGAGGGGGGGAGGAATGGGGGCTTGAATTTTAATTCCATGGGATCATGATTTGAACGAACTAGAATCTACACTACCTGAGGATGATTCCATATAAATATTACTAATCATGTCTTTGAAGTACTTGATAAGGAGATTTTAAAGGGCTTCCCTATATATTCCTATGTAAAACATTTAACGGCCATTATGGCCCCAACCTAGCCCCGGGGTCATGATTTGAACAAACTTGAATCTACACTACCTAAAAATGATTCCACACGAGTTTCACCTTTCCTGTTCTAGGGGTTCTTGTGAAGAAGATTTTTAAAGATTTTTCTTACATCTTCCTATATAAAACATTGATCGGCCATTATGGCCCACCCTAGCCCCAAGGGTCATGATTTGAACAAAATTGAATGTACACAACCTGAGGATGATCCCACACGAGTTTCATCGTTCCTGTGCCTATAGATCGTGAGAAGAATTTTTTTCTATATATTCCTATGTAAAACTTTGATCGGCCATTTGGCCTCACCCTACCCCCGGGGTCATCATTTGCACAAATTCGAATCTACACTATCTGAAGATGATTCCACATGAGTTTCATCTTTCCTGGCCCAGTGGTCCTTGAGAAGAAGATTTTTTAAAGATTTTTCCTATACATTTCTATGTAAAACATTGATTGGCCATTGTGGCCACATCCTACCCCCAAGGGTTATGATTTGAACAAACTTGAATTTACACTACCTGAGGATGCTTCCCTATAAGTTTCATCTTTCCAGGCACAGTCGTTTTTGAGAAGAAGATTTGTAAAACATACTATCAAATTTTCACTATTTCTTTTTTATCTCCCCTTGTATAAGGGTATGGCCCTTTATTTGAACAAATTTGAATCCCCTTTACCTAAGGATACTTTGTGCCAAGTTTGGTTGAAATTGGCCCAGTGGTTCTCAAATGTGAAAATTTAACGACAACAACGACGACAACGACAACGACAGACAATGGACAAATTTTGATCAGAAAAACTCACTTGAGCTAAAAAGTCCTATACCCTTTCTAAGTCTGGAAAAAAATGATATGAAGAGAAATTTGCATAAGACAACATTATTAATGATTTGAAAATGAATATATATTTAACTCTAAAAGAAGAAGAAATAATACCTAAAATAAAATGAAAGTTTTGAGATCATTTCGAAGAAATTTAGTACACTTGCATTATAAAAGCTGATAAAGGCGGAGCTGTGGTTATTAAAGACATGAGCCTAATTATCAAACAAAAAGAATGAATGCTTGCCTCAAAATTTTGCATATATGATATCTTTACCATAAATCATAATGGTTACTTCATGAATATTATCATACATGATTTCTTAATTATACATCAGAATTTTACATCTGATCTTAATTTCGTTGTCTTCTTTTATAAACTAAAATGAAAATTGTTTGGAGACATCGGAAATTATCACTGTTACTAATGATGATGAAATTGCATAAATACACTCGTACATCTTCTGTTCTGCCATCTGTGTGTGTGGCTGCAATAAGGATTGGTGCTTCAGGGCCGCCAAATGATTTAATAGAATTCAGCCAGAATTCTACATACTCTATCAAAAATGCAAAATTAAACATTACTTAGCGGTATATTTTTTCGTAAAATGTTTTCTCTTTTTATATTTAATTATAAAATAGATATAAAACATTAATTTCTGAGATCTAGACTTAAGAGATCAAACATTTCCTAGATTATATTTTGCCCACCGTTAAAAACGTATATGAAATAAAACAATATTTAAGGAACACCATTACAATGTATTTTAAAAATGTCACTTTGCTTGAAAAATAAAGATTACAAAAAGAACATGCTCTTGCGTATCGAATAAACTGGGAGACATAACCCCAACATGCTTTTGATAAAGATATATAGTTTTATGAATAAGAGAACTTTACAGTAGAAAATTGAAGTCATCACGTTTATTAGAAAAGAGTATATTAAACAATTTCAAGTTAAATATGATATATAGAGTGGAAGTATAAATGAAAAAAAAGTACGATTTAAAAAATGTGTCGCTTGTTCTTCAGGAATTTATGTCAATTTTTTCAAATATACTCAGACTCAAAAGAAAGGTAACGTCATAATTTTAGGGTGAAAAATCTATATGGGATACAACTATGTACAAAAAAATAGGACATCCTTAACTTTGATTAATTCTTTTATTGTATATTGTTTAACGTCCTTCTCCAGAATTTTCACTCAAATTGACACGTAACCGTATGTCGGTGAAGGGCTTCAAATTTTGATCTTTACTTGGCACTCAGGACCATTGAGCAGTGAATGAGTTTTATCGTGCCAAAGCCTGCCTCGGTTTTTTAAAAGTCTCATCTGAAGGACCCTCTTTAACTTTGACAAATCAGTTATGTAGTGTATATTTAAAGCTGACATGAATTCTTAAAAACGCAACATTTTCATCAATGTACGACTTGTTTCATACCAACGATAGCCGTATTCCGCCATATTTCTCTCAGATACCTTGTCTCATTGAAACGATGTATACCCCAATGCGCTCGTTACACTTGAATGATTTTTTGGTTTGGATATCGACTTGTGCACATCTCCGATGGTAAAGCATACATGAGAACACATAAGTAAATCAAGACAGTTCAAAACCACAATAAACAAAATAATCATATTTCTGAATAATTATTGATTTGAATCAAAAGAAAAAATGCAAGTTTAGTGAGAAATTTAGATGCACGAGTACGTATTTTACAGTGCGCCAATTTATGCAGAAAAAAATTGAAATAAAAAGCAGTAAAATCTGCAACACATTTTGAAATTATTATCATTTGAATGGCGCAAAACAACCAACGTCTTTGATTTGCAGACCCTATGCAATTTGTGCATATCGAGAAAACGCCTCGAACGCTGTAAACATACCCATACCTGGTAATAAGGTTACTGCATCGGTTCGAAGATGTGCACAAGTCAAGTAATATACACCCTGAATTCCATTTATTGAAATATGCATCACAAAAAAGAAATAAACTCCGTAAAAGCTCAATAGTAAACACACTGTCATTACTCCGTACAGACAAGCACGTCGATACACCTAGTCCGTGCTAATCAGATTTTGGTCAGGAAAAATATCACAAGTGGAAAGAGAAGTTATTTGTTATTTTCGCAGCTGAAAGGGGGGGGGGGTTATAACTGCTGTTCATAAGCTATAATTGTGAATTGTCTATCTACATGTAGTTCTTATATACATTTATATACAAAGTCATGTATATAGTCTGCAGTTGGTTTGCGTCGCAAAATTCATTTGTCAATTATAACTGATAATTGTAGTACTAATCTCAAATCTAGTAATTTGATGTACGGCAATTATTTACTTCAAATCTTAAAAGCAATTAACCAGAATATTTTTTTATGTGTACATAGATCTATACGTTCTTTAACACACAAACACACGAAGAAATGCCATCCCCTGTTCAGATTGACATTTAGGCATTTGATTTTTTAGGCGGAGGGGGGGGGGGGTGAAAAATAATTAACATGACCCTTATCTAAATATTCTTGGAAGACGGACATCTCTGCCGAATTCAATTTTGAAAATTTTATTTTAAATGTGTCACTCCGACCACAATGTATGTGCATTTTGAAGTAATGTATAAATGTTTTATAATTATGGTGTTAAAGAGAGGCTTTCGAGATTTTAATATCCCTGCCTGATAGTCTAGCTACTTATTTTTTATATATTTAAAAATAATTTCTGTAGGAGTATTTGGGAGATAATTCTAAAAGCTAAGGTAGGGAGTCTTGATACTGGTTGAATACGGATTATTTTTATTTACTAATAGTATATTGAACTAACTCTCTCTCTCTCTTTCTCTCTCTCCCTCTCTCTCTCACTCTGTAACCATCTCTCAGGGCAATAATAGGTATAAGATCCTGCGCACTTTGTGCTGTCCATTTATTAAGCCTTAGGACAGATCAAGGGCTTTTTTTTCAGGCGGGATGTCGAAACTTCATAAATTGAAAAATAATTTTAATTTGGACGAGAAGTTAATCCGAACGGACAAATTGAAAGAGAAACTAGAGGTATTGTGAGCAATGAGCTCACTAAATGATACCCTCGACGCCCATATGGTTATAATGGCAAAGTACATATTTTGCTGTTGTCGCTAAACCCAAAATACGTGTCTGATCAAAATGTAAAATAGGCGGTCCACAATGGTAATATGTAATATACCTATAAGATTCTGTGAAAGTTTTATGTAATTTCATTAAGTGGTATAAGAGGATTTGCGGATAGGAGAGTGCAAAGAAATTTTTTTATACAAAAAATCTGACAAGTTTAAAAAATAAAATGGGGGGGGGGGTGTCCTTTTCCTAAACACAAATATTCTATTTTGTGTGGGGGAAAGGGGGTTAGGTGGGTTCGAACTTCAGCAACAAAATTTTTCTCCAAACACCAACACTTTCCTCTTTTTTAACTTATTCTGCGAATTGTCTGTTAAAAGCTGGGGGGGATAAACCTACGCAGCAATATTCAATGTCTATACTAAGTATATATTTGTAACCCCCCCCCCCCCCCCCCCCCGTTTCCGACACTTAAATTCTGAACCTGGACAACGACAAGAGAATTTACAAAAAGCTAATTGTAGGTAGAATGTGGAATTCTCACGGGGGGGGGGGTGTTCCTATCTCTTTTTATCTGCTTTTTCTAGTAATCATTAATTATTTATATCTAGAAATTTAATTCACATTAAATTCTATTTTCATTGTCATTGTACCACAGAATCAAACTCGTTTATTATAACCCTTGCAACAAGTTGCGTGAGGTATAATGTTTTGGACCCATCAGTCGGCCCATTTTTTTTTTTTTTGGTTAGCGCAACTTCTTATAAACTAATGCACAGAGTTTTGTTGAACTATTCTGATATTCAGAGGAGTCAATGTTTCTGTATTTGAATATCACGAGGGAATTCTGAAATCTTTATTTTTTCGGGAATGCCCGCACTTTTACATTTAGATTTTGGACATATCTTGAATATAAAAATGAGCAGTTTGTCAGCACAATTCCTCATAAACCGGTGCATACAATTTCGTCAAACTTTGCGGATAATTAGGAAACAATATGTATTGATGTGCATTTAACAAGGAAATTACGATTCCTTTATTTTTTCTGAGAATTTCAGCACTTCGACTTATGTGGGACCGTGGGGTATGTGAATTTGCTCACTTTTTCTTTCATTGAGCATAGAATAGCTTTAAATCAAATTATATTAGGTCTAATAAAGCCAATATACAGTATTTATTTGATCATAAAAGAATTCCGATCTGTTTCAGACGTTTTTCTTAAAATATTTTTATGAGAGTGTTATGCATGTTTTATCCCCCCCCCTTTCCCAGGAAAATGTCTTCATATCTTAAAAAGGTGAATGATTCGTAATAATGCATACTTAATTATAAATTTGATGAAGTTAAACCATTTTTTTTTAAATTTTATTTACACCATTTACAGACAAGAGTATTGTTTATTCTTGAAAAAAATAATTATTTGCATTTTTTCAGTCAACCCCACGGCGCTTTCAACTTTTGATATTTTCCCTGACCAAATAAATTGATCAGCATGGGCCACGTGTGTCCAAGCAGTTCTTTACTGTTGAGTTAGCAATGGATTACATGATTTATGAGATGCATTTTTCAATAAAAGTAAAATAGGATAATTCTTGCGACATGTGCACATCCCTGTAACGATAGCAGTCTTCAGGTAAATATTTCTATCACTGCGTTTGACGCGTTTTCTCGACTGACATGCATGGAAGTTTTGCTCTACTTGAATATTTTCCGTGTAAGTGTATTTTCTGTATTGCAGCAAATGCAATCAAAATAATTTAATTCTCGGTATAGTTCTAGTTTTTGTTGAATTTTTACTTTTCACATGTATATTGGTCAGTTTATGGACTTTTTAAAACTTTGCTATCGGAGATGTGCACATGTCGACAGCAAGGATAGAAAATCACTCAAGTGAAACAGTTCTAAAAGGCTATATATAGCAGGTACAAGTGGCCAAAAAATGTTCGATTTAATATGGCGGAAACGAGGAAATATGGCGGACAAAGGCGTACAGGAATGTAGTAAGTCGTACAAAGATGGAAACTGGTGCCTTTTTAAGAGTTCATGTCAGCTTTAAATATGCAGTTCTCCTGTTCTTTATTTATGCATGCTTTCAGTTTCAGGAAGTATGTATAAGCATCACATCCGAAAGAATAAAGAGAGATTTTACCGCGAATATTAGTATATGAATTACGATTAACAGGAACAAATCTTAAAAATCAAATAATTGCATTAAACATGCTCTTATTTTTTATTTCTGTTAAGAGGGATTACAGACAACTTCCGGTAATGGGGTGAACATTCAACATTTAAATAAGTGATTTAGCAAAGTAAAAGATGTCTTCACTATTTTGGGGTATAAAGTTATATCCCGTTTATAATCTTCACAAGGTGTTATATTTCTTATGATTGGGTGTATATTTCAAAAACATTTTATTATTAGTTATTTATTTTATTAGGTGAGTGATCAGACAAATGAAAGATCCA